TATATATTTAGCAGAATTGTAGGGTTATTATATTTCATAAAGAAACGCGGTGAGACTCGGCTCACGACAGATTCACTGCTTTCCAAGTCTGGCTATACCACGCGCTATGACTACTGCGTACACAATAAACTGTCAATGGTATTCGAGACGTTGACGTGACATTTACTTTTCTCGCATAGTGCCGAGCATTCATTTATTCAGCTAACCGAGACTGAATTGAATTTTACGTTGATACGCTGCCACTGTAAATTTCGTTTGCAAATTTGGCACTTATGATTGTATTAGTGTTATCACTGGTATAATTTCATGCGAACGTTTGTCGCGCGATTATTAACAGATACAAGATAATACATTTTACAGGGACACTCGAGGGGCCAAATTTACAGTGATGCCTGAGTGATGCATGTAGAGCAATCAGTGCAATTGAAATTAGGGTATAGTGATGTGTTATGTACTAGTGGTCACTGGTAACAGTTATTTAGAAATTATTGAGATTCATTAGTGTTTCGTTGGTAGCTTGTACATATACGGTTATTAATAATAATTCTATTATTATTAAATTATTCAATTTTATTATTATTAATAGTATACTACTAACTATACTAACTATATTATCGAGGTTATTCGATGTTATTGTTTGTCGACTTATAAATAAGAATTTAATTGTTAGAATGCGTGCTGAACACCTTTCCTTTTTATATTATTGTTAAAGTTTTTAGTCTTTGGAGTTTCATGAATGTACATATATTGTAATCTCTGTAAATTTTTTGAATAAAGGCAAGATGAGAATGACGAAGTTTGTATTTATTCATTATAAAATGATTGGATTATGAAATCTATAATAGGATTATCAACACTATTGGGATTTTTTCGAGTATCAGCTGTTAGATTTTAAGTGTCTTGTGTTGGATTAGCTCTAATCGCAGTTTAAACCTAATTTTCGATGATACTTTCTCGTTCGAAAACTGAAATGTACTGACGTACAGTATTTTTAGAAGATCATAGAGCATGTTCCAAATTGTTTGGCAAAAACAATTGTCAACTAAATAACGCATGCACAATATCATTATTCTGAAGTTACGTAATTTCCTGTTCATTTTTTTAGATCACTTATTACGCTGCAGGGAAGAATTTCAATAGAATCGAAATGCTAGTTTCCTGACGTTCACCTCAAAGCTTTGATTTGAATGATAAGTAAATAAAATATTATCGCACAACTAGTTTCTAAATAAGTCGATTTCCATGTTGCGATTTATGGATGGTGTGAATGAAAAAACTGAATTGAATGCAGTCATCAAAAACCAAATGTTATAAATTGTATATGTAACACAATTGTATTATACATTATCATTTATATTTGTGTTACAATAATATTGATAATATAATAATAATAATAATAATAATAATAATAATAATAATAATAATAATAATATAATGATAATAGAATGCAAAATAATAAAATATAAATAATAGAATAATTCCAATTGTTGTTTATATATAATTTATTATTAATATCGATATAAAAACTTTCGCACGCCTTGTCCTACATATCTACATCACAAACCCTGCTCTCTATTTCGAAATTGTACGTCTCGAATGATAAGAAACTAATAAAATCGAAAAATATCATCACATTAGAATAACTGGCATAAAACACAATACAATAGAACGTAAAATCGAAAATACTACTGTTTTCGGTTCTATCGAGACTATATCCTACTTTCAAGCAACAAATTTTCAAAAACTGACAAAAAAACAACAGAAATTGGAGGAAACATTAAAGGGTGTATCAAATACAATTAAAATAAAATCATAAACAATTATCTTCACATTGAACATATAATTTCTCTTTCATACGATAGAATTGTATAAATAAATCTTTAAACAGAGATTTTAATAAATGGTTCATTATTACAAAATTAATTAACACTGATTCCAAGCATTCTTTGTATCAATTCTCAGTCGTCGGGAAAGTTGTAAGAAATTCTTCGACTAAATAAAACGAACTAAATAGCAAAACTGATTTATCTCATTTTAAATCGAGACACTATTTAAATTTCCAATATTCAGCGTTTAAACTAGACTAATACACAGATCCCCTATTTCCCTATCAAATTCTTAATATATAGTCTCCGATCCACCTAGCTACAAAAGAAACCGCAAAGCAATGGGTCAAAATCATAAAGTCTTATGGGATGACTCAAATAGTGCGATGAAAACCGCTTCCCGCAAGAAAGTAGGGCGCCCAACAAAATTACCAAAACGCCGGCAACAAAGCACCGGCGAGAATATCAATAAAACCATTCCAAACGCCATAGTCTTTTCCAAATCAATCACCGATAACCAAACCAATAATAAAACCGTATATTAACCATCACGATTAACATTCGCCACCAATTATTCCTATAAATATTGTTATTAGAAATGATAAACTACGACATTATTTTTGCGAACTCCATGACTCGTTCTAGTTTCATTTTTCTTAGCATAATGAAAATGAAATGAATCCTATAGATATTGTCATTAGAAATGATAAACTACATTATATTTCGGAACTCAGTGTCCCGTTTCAGTTTCATTTTTCTCTGCATAATGAAAATGAAATGAACCCCACAGACATTGCCATTAGAAATGGTAAACTACATTATATTTAGGAACTGAATGACTCGTTCCAGTTTCATTTTTCCAATATTGCCATTAGAAGATTGATTAAATCAAAGAAAATATTAAAATTAAAGAGACCGTCACCGAAATAAGCGCCGCTAGCGAAGCTCTGAAACCAAAGCATAACCAAGTACATAACCTCTCTACATCGAATAATACCGAACTATAACGATATCCCTCGAAAGGCTTGAATTTTCCAAGACCAACGGTTCCTAAAGGTTTAAAAGTCGCCGGGATATTTATGAGCGCCACTGCACGCACTCGAACGTCCTTGAGGTATACTTGAAACGCGTGGAATGCCTGCATATTAGATAAAATTCGAGGTTCTACTTAATTCTTTTAGCGTCCCGGCCAAGAAGGAAGTCGGAGCAATTTGCTCATCGAAGATGCTCGCAGCTGGTATCATCAAGCACGTGCGTCTTCCACGTGGACTGGTGATCTTGGAGCGGCTGAAAAACCTGCCTGTTCCGACGCGTGACTGCTCGGCAAGACCGATCATCATACTGACCAAATAACGTTATCCTTTCGTTGCACCGATATAGAGGATCGTTCAGGATTAAGTCAGGTGTCCAGGGCAAGCCAGGAGGCAAAGGGACAGCAGGGGATGGCCATCAGGCGAAACGGATGCGCCAGAAAGCTCGCCTGTCGAAAGTAGCTCTCCCTGTCTCGCTCCGACGTCTATTTTCATCTCACTCAGCTAAGCGAGGCGGTTGTAGCTTTCCGTGACCACCCCTTGTCACACTTTTGGTATCATCTCCACCTAAAAAGGTAGATTGGCCCAGGAACTAACACGGTCCCGTATTGGCTCGCGCCGCCGGCGAATCCGCAGGCTCGTTATATTCTAGGATCACGTTGCACGCGCTTATATTGGGAGCCCCCGCTCGTTTCCCCGACAGAACGGCTCTCTAACGTAAGTGCAGCACG